GAAAGAGTGCCGTGCATGAAAGGCTTTGTATGAGTTTCTGGTCCTTGCTCTGGCTTCTTCACGCTGCTCCAGTGACGCAAAACTGCCAGAAAGCCAGTTTAACCAGCTACCTCATGATACCCCCAGTGTAGGGGCATCCCAAAGTGAGATTGGGACAACACAGCAAATCTTACACCACTCCCCTCGCCCCACCCTATGGGATCAGGCTGCCCAGAACATCCTGTGTTGCGTGTTCATCAGCTGGAACATAATAAGCAGGGTTAATGAGGCCACAAGGAGAAAACATTTCCTAGTCCTTTGTCTTTAAGAAAGATGTTCTGAAGCAGCCTCTTGCTGTGGTAACTATGTATTTCTTTCTGTAAAGAACAGTAAATGGACAGATGACATGCATAACTGAGCAACATGTAGGTCACTGCAACCTGAGGCTACAGTAAAATCCACACCCACTTCTTAAAATTACTTGAATCTCTGGATTTAATGGTCAAATGCTTATTCCACCCTCCTTGTGGCCTTATATAACCCTTATGTGTAGCACAATTGCATTCTTCAGCAGGGCCAGTGCTACCATTAACGCAACCTAGGCGGTTGCCTAGGGTGCCAAGATTTGGGGGCGCCAAAAAGCGGTGCCCCCAATTATTTTTTTATAGTGTTCCTGGGCTGGGCTGCCAGCAGCGCGCTGACACGTGTGGCTCAGACTCCCTCTCCCAGCGCAGTGGCCGCTCCACTTCTCCTGCCTCCCAGGCTTGCGGCGCCAATCAGCTGTTGGCGCTGCAAGCCTAGGAGGGAAGGAGAATTAGAGCGGGGGCAGCGTGCTCGGGGAGGAGGTGGAGCAGAGGTGAGCTGGGGTGGGGAGCTGCTACACGGGGGGGCGCCTCAGGGCAGAGGTGGGATGCTGCTGCGGGGGGGGAGGGTGCCTCAGGGCGGGGAGGCAGGGAGCTGCCGCAGGGCTTGGGGGGGGGCAAGGTGGAAGTTTTGCCAAGGGCATGAAACTTCCTTGCACCGGCCCTGTTCTTCAGAATTAAAAGGCTTTGGTAAATAGTGTAGCACTGAAATCTGTATGACTTTGTCTCTTCAGTTTCTGTAATGCTGATGCTTTAGAGTTGAGCAGAAAACTTCTGCAGGGTCTACATCAGTGGTGGGCAACCTGTGGCCCACGGGCTGCACACAGCCTGTCAGGGTAATCTGCTGGCGTGCCACCAGCCAGTTTGTTTACATTTGCACTGCCGCCTGCAGCTCCCAGTGGCTGCGGTTTGCCGTTCCCGGCCAATGGGAGCTGTGGGAAGCAGTGCGGGCCACAGGGACATGTTGGCTGCTGCTTCCCGCAGCTCCTATTGGCCGGGAATGGTGAACTGCGACCACTGGGAACTGCAGGTGGCCGTGCAAATGTAAACAAACTGTCTGGCTGCCCATCAGCCGCAGTTGGGCCGCAGGTTGCCCCCCACTGGTCTATATGCTTCTGTGCTGACTGCTGTGCACAGCAATTATTGACAATCCAGATCTGCAGATTATACAGTAAGTCTACATAAAGCAGTGGTTCTCAATGTATTTTGCAGCCCACAATTTGGTACCTGGGCTGCAGGTTTAGAACCAGAGTGCCCCCCAGCCCCAACCTCCCCACAGACCCCTATGCCCAGCGCCTTCTCCATAGAGTGGGACCAGGAGCAGACCCTGCTGCGGAGCTGGGCAGCAGGGCAGCCCCAGACCCCACCATGCAGCAAGGCAGAGCAGCTCTGGCTGCCCCGGACCCTGCTGCTGGGGCAGGGCAGCTCGGCAACCCGACTCTGCCGTCTGGGGCAGGGCACCTCAGCAGCCCTGGACCCCCCCACGTGGGGCAGGGCAGGGCAGCCCCGGACTCCACTGTGCAGGGCAGGACAGCCCCAGACCTCACTGCACAGGCAGAGCAGCTCCGGACCCCACTGCACGGGGCAGGGCAACCCTGGTGGCCCCAGACCCTGCTGCACCAGGTAGTAGGGCAGCTTGGCCCCTGGGCCCCGCCGGGATGGGCGGCAGGGCAGCCGGGACCCCAGACCCTGCCGTGCCGGTGTAGCAGCCTGGTAGCCCAGACCCCACCATATGGGCCCTTCATCTGTGTGCTAATTGGGCCGCATGCGGCCTGTGGGTTGAGAACCACTGACATAAAGAGTCTTAGTGCAGAAAACGCCATGGGGAGTCAAGAGAGGGCCTAAGACACTCAGGCCTTGTCTACACTACACAGTTTTGTTGGCAAAGGTAGCGTTTGTTGACAAAACAGAGGTGTACACACTAGAAAACTACTTTTGGTGACAAAACTCTCCTCTTTTGCTGACAAAATAAAAAACACCTTGATGAGTCACATAGAGCTTTTTGCAGCAAAGTTAGAGCAACAAAGTGTCAGTGTAGACACTGCATTTGTTACGTCACGTAACTGGCCTCCAGGAGGTATCCCACATTGACTGCTCTGCTCACTGTTTTGAACTCAGCTGCCCTGCATCCAGCTATACAGGTATGTGCCCCCCGCCCCTTTCAAAGCCTCTCAAAGTTTGGAAACTGCTCAGCATGGAGAGCTCACATAGCTCCTGCCAGCTGAGCATGCCGGTTCCAGCAGCAAACACATTCCTGCCTGGACTACAGGGGAGGGGATGGATCTTCTTGGGCTGTGGGGAGAGGAGACCCTGGGAGACCTCTGAGGGAATCACAGACTCATTAATGTGGAATCCTGCTCTCCCACAGCAGAAGCAGGAAGGCAGGGCAGGCTACTGCTGGAGGAGGAGGGCAAGAGACTCATGCTCTGCTATGCAAAGCCAGGGAGGGAGGCAGGGGCCGATGTGTGTGTGTGTGGGGGGGGTGCCCCTCCCCCTTCCTCAGGACTGGTTGCATTAGGGTGACCAGATGTCCCGATTTTATAGGGACAGTCCCGATTTTTGGGTCTTTCACTTATATAAGCTCTTATTACCCCACACCCCGTCCCGATTTTTCACACTTGCTGTCTGGTCACCCTAGGTTTCATCCAGCTTCTGTGTGAACTTAAAAAGACGGCATGCCTGATGTACTCACTCTCCGCCAACACACACACTTCCCCCTCCCCCACTTCAGTTGAAAAGCAGCTGGCAATCTAATAGGATGCCCATGGAATGATGGGATTGAGAAACCTGCATCATGTGATGCTGTACCTGCCCCATGAGGCACTGCAAACCCTTCCCAAAGCATCCTGTGGCCAGTTGCACAGTGGGATAGCTACCCACGCTGCTCTCTGTGTCACTGCAAGAGCTGCTATTGTGGCTGAGCTCTGCCAACACAAAGAACATAGTGTGGATATGCAACAGCGGTTTAATTAAAGTGGTGGCTGTGTGTCGGCATACATTGCGTTGACAAAACTCTGTAGTACAGACCAGGCCTCAGTGAAGTAGCCTGTACTTTGCAGGTTGCCCTCAGAGGAAAAGAGGTTGGGGGTTTTCAAGGGAAACAGGTGTGGGCTTTCAAAACCATGGACCCCATTGATCTGTGGGGGAACTCTGCCTCTAGCCCCACAGAATTCAAAGCACTTGTGTTGCTCCTCAGCTCCCCCATGCTACTCCCTTGCAGAAAGACTTCTTCAGAATCTATACCATTATTGGCTGCTTTCCCCCCCCTCCATGGCTGAGTAGTAGCAGTTGGAGAAAAGCTGCTGGTTTAATTAGGGTCAGCATCATTGCTTTGAGGATAGCTAAGGAATTTGGAAGGGAGTGTATTGCAAAGTATATTAGGGGATGGGTTTACTTCCTTTCCCTCCCTAAACTCTGATATCAAACATATTCAATTTACCTTTCAATGCAATTACTAATTGCTTTATTATACTGATATATATAGATCTGCTGATTGTAGGCTCCTTCGGACAGGGACTATATTTTTGTTATGTGTTTATACAATATCTAGCACAATGAGCCTGGGGCTTCTAGGTGCTACTATAATACAAATAAAATATACAGTATTGTAAGAAATCTGTTGCCACCTCTGCTGCTCCATTTGTCATTATGTTGCAAACCGTAGCCACTCAGAACTTCACAGAAATGGGTATAGATCCTACGCTTCCAGAGCACACATTCCCATCAGTTGAGTCAACAGCAAGATTTTTGGGGAGAAAAACAAATATATAGGACAGACCATGAAATGAGAGCAGGATTAGAATGGGAAAGGAACTAAGGGAAGAAAAGCTGCTTGCTTTTGCCATTTGACATTGGGGCCACAAAAAAAACCCAGGGGCGACTATAAAGACGGAATTGGCTTGAATATTATAACTATGCCATATGAGAAAGGGATATCTGCTTTATGAGCTGTGCAAAATCTTTCATCAAAACTCGGTTGTGAAACTAGAAGTTGTTAATTGTTTTTACCAATTTAATTGAGCTTGGATTTCTCACAAACAGTTCAGAGCAATTATTGAGTCAGTGATTCAATGTTTGGAATTCATATGTACCAACGTCATATAGTCTTGTTTCTGTTCTGTGATTGGATGGCCTATACCTTATAATAAACATCTGCCTCAAACATTATTTATTCATTCATTAAACTAATCTGGACTGTGAACCTGAAATTCACTTTGTGAAAAACATTAGTATAAAAAAGTTTGGTTGCTAGGGAATAACAAATAATAAAGAGGGGATGGAATCAAAATCACTGTGACCTGTTTGCACTAAGTTTTTAGTTTTGCTTTACCCTCTTCATTCAGACGTATCCATGAGATATGTGGTGCATGGACTATAGTGAATCTAACCATAATCTATATGATTAATAGATCAGCATACTCTTTAATGGATATAGAAAATGCATGAAAATATGTGTGGTGCTTTAGATATTCCAGCAATCTGACTTCTGAAGGGTTTTTTAGGATTCAGAAATGGGAACTTGTGTTTCTGGATTTTTTTTGTTTTTGTTTTGCATTTTTAACAAGTGCTAATTTTACATATTTCTAAAGCTTCTTTTCTGCACATCCTGGTTCATATGTAAGTATATTCTGTTGTATGGTATATAACTTCATGATCACATTTAATATTCTGATAGTTTTATTAACAAGTATAATACATATTGTATACTGTATATAGTATGAGGACTGTACAGTACAAATTTATGTTCACAGTTTGACATGACAAAATGTCATTACTGAATTCCCATTGGACTACCAAAGTAGAAACAGTGAAAGTACATTAAACATTCACATCTTTAGTAAGAAAGATTACCAAAATGTTTCAGTATTTGCAAGTTATAGTAATGCATGCTAGAAACCTTTAATTACCCACTTAGTCTTATTAGCTTATAAAATATATTACATTTTATTAAAAAATTTCTGTATAGTTTATACAAGTATTAAAGTAAATGTAATATCCCTGCTATATTTGCAGGTAATGTTTTAAGAAATGCTAAGCAGAAAGATTATTTTGACCCTCTAACATTTAAGGTACATAAATAGCAGAAAAGTGCTAATATCTGTAAAACAATGAAAAATTTTGTAACCCTCTTAATACATGTAAAATGTTTTTTGTTTTAAGAAAGGATTTGCATTCATTTACAGTTTGCTAACCTTGACAGAGACAAAACACAGACAACATATTCAGACAAGTTTGTGGCATTAGACAGATCACTACAGAACTACAGTGTATATTTAAATAAAACCACATTACCTGTCATACCTGTTTAATCCGAAGGATTGTCTCGGAAATATGTAATCCATTATAATGTCGAATGGTACATACAGGTACAATATTAGTATAATGGTATTCCAAGTTACATACTATACTATACAGTGCAATATTGCTAGTGCACAGGTTTTTCTTTTAAATACACAAAGCAAATCCCGCAGCAGAGTTGTGTGCGTGTCTTTAGACCCAGACAAGAGGAGGAGTGAGCTCTTTAGATTGGAGCTGATGCTTGTTTAGTATTTCCTTAGTTAATATTTTTTTTTGATGCACTCCCCAAACCAAAGTTAGAGTTAATGCCCCATTTAAAATGCAGATTCACATTTTAAACTAAAAAGATAAAATTTATTTTGTAATTGCTTTTCTGACTTCCCAGAAGATATGACACCACATATATAAAGTGAAAAATCCTATTACAAAGCATTTACATGAAACTATCTTATTTGGTTACAAATAATTAAGATTCTATTTAATGTTTAAATTTAAACCTGTCGTCAGTGTCCTATGTCATAAAGCATATGGCCAAGGGCATTTTATAATTATATTGCATCTTAACAGTATTTCTCCCTACAACTCATTATAAATATCTTTAAACAGAGGCAAACAGGTTAACAGCTGATTTAATAGCCTACATCTCAGGGATTTAATGCTCTGCTGGAGTAACTTCAGTGGAGTTATGCCAGAAGAGCATGTAGCCCCAGATTATAGTGAGCAAAAGATGCAAACACTTAACAAAACTGTTTTATGAAAGACCAAAAAAAAAAAAAATTAAGCAGCATGGGAAATTTAATGTCACAAAAATACCAAATTTGATGCGATACATTAGTTAAAAATAGAAATGGAATTAGAACGTCTGACACCTGCTTTTCTTTATAGGATCCTATCTGCTTGTTTCCAGGTTATAATTGTTTTCATCCACAGCATGCCAAACATCTATCCTCCTGTGATATATTTCAAAGTTCAAATTCAGGAATTGATCCTGTGCAGCTCATTGTGTGGAGCCCCTATTAAAGTCAATGAGTTCTTCATGTATGGAATAGCTAGCTGTAAATAACTAGAGCTTAAGTTTTGATATCAATTTTGATTCTGTGATGTTACTGGAACTTAAAAAAAAAATTGGTGCTAGTCTATGCTAGTTCTCTTTCCAGGAAGTTTTTTCATGTTAGTGACAGAGCCATGTATCTATCAACAGAAGGCTGAGAAAATTTACCTGGTAATTACATTTCTATCCAGTTACACAACTATAAATCTGGCATAGTTTCAACTGATTCCAGGGAAGTTACTCCAGACATACAGTGGTGTAGGAGAGCAGAATGTGGCTCAGATCCCTTACACAAAACTTCCAAGTGCTGGGAGACATGGTATGAAAATTCTCATTCCTCACTGTATGTTTTGACTGTGTAACACCACAGTATTGCAAAAGGGTAAGAAATTCTTTAGACCAGGGGCTCTCAACTTCTTTCTGAGGCCCCACCAACACGCTATGGGGCTCTCAACTTCTTTCTGAGGCCCCACCAACACGCTATAAAAACTCCACAGCCCACCTGTGGCACACCTGGTTTTCTGCATATAAAAGCCAGGGCCTGCGTTAGGGGGTAGCAAGCAAGGCAATTGCCTGGGACCCCCGTGAAGCTGGCTTTGGCTTCAGCCCCGGGTGGTGGGGATTAAGGTGTCGGGCTTCAGCCCCATGCAGTGGGGCTTCAGCTTTCTGACCTGGGCCCCAGCGAGTCTAATGCCCTGCTTGGGGGAACCCCTGAAATCTGCAGATGGACCCCCAGGGGGCCCCAGGCCCCTGATTGAGAACCGCTGCCTTAGATAAATGGATACCCAGTTCCATACGTTAGTATATGAATGTTAATTTTAGAGCAGGGAAAATACTTCATATTTTATGTCAGAAGCATCCTTTGCACTTTTCTGTACAATAAGTGAAAATATCCCCAATTACTCTGACACTTGGCATTAAAGTTCAGACAGCTGTAAGGTATAAATTTATTCTTTACCCTCCCAAATGTCTATACATTGGCCTATATTTATACTACTAGAGACGCTCCCCTTCCTGCCAGTTTTGCTAACAGAGGGGAGCAGCTGTGGATGTCAGGTAGATGTAACCACACTGCCAAGAGAGTAAACTGGCACAGCAACTCTTGGATATGCAGGATTTTCCAGGTGTCCAGTGTTTAAGGTCATGAACACTTCCTGCGTCACAGGCTCTCAAATTCCTTCCCATAGAGGGCAGCATGCAGATATTTTCCTTTCCAGTGGGTTTTTCCATGAGGTGAAAATTTGACTATGACATTTTCATATTGCAGGAACTATACCTGATTGCATAATGAACTGAACAAAAAACATTGTGGGACATAACAGTCTAGACAAATACATCTTGTTTCCTTGTGGTGTCACAAAAGCAGCCAACTAATAAATGCAGGAACCTCCCTTTTAATGCAGTTAACACCTCCAAAGTTCTGGAACAGATTTAGCACCAAACTTTAGGTTGTTTTACTTGGGTATTTATTTTATTTTGTTAACTGAAACTGGGAGTTGAACCTTTCTGACTCAATTTGTTAATACAACAAGCACATCCATGGGATCTCTTGGTCCACCTAGCATCAAGAAACCAACAGAGCCACAAATCAAATCACAGAGTCATTAAATGGCTTATCAAGCCTACTCTCTTCATTTGAGACATTTACACAACTCAATTTCTCACAGGAAGTGCTTCCTATTGGATGCCATTTAGCCTTTTGCCATCAAAAAAATCTTGTGAACTAAAATTTAAATACTGTAGTGTATCAAATTGGCACTTGCTTCCACCAATGGTACAGTTTTGAGCATTTTGATATGACAATTGCTGCTTTTGAGGTATGATGAAGTTTTTGAAGAACAGGAAACACAGGGGAGTGATTATTAAGGGATACATCTTTACCCCTGAAATGAGGTATGGTAGGTCTCTGTGAAAATAATTTCATGTCATGGCATAGGAGTACCGTGTGTTCCACCTATACGGCTGCACACAAAACAGAGATAGTGTCACACAGGAATCACACACTTAAGGAATCTACCGAGGCATCATGTAATAAACATAAGCTCATGTACTACAGTATAATACAAAAGATAGGTGATGTTGGTTTAGAGGCACAATCATGTGTATACACCAATTTCTGCTGATGATTCTTCAAATATTATTATTCATTTAGTCCAAATCAGCTATCATTTAATCTTTCATGATGTAAAGAGAGTACTTTGCTTAGTTAGTTATTACAGTGTCATTCACTGTCTTGGCAGAGGGGATTTCTACAGTGAGAAGGTGTCTTTCTAAAAGTGTTGCTTTAAACTTGCTGCTGTAACCAGCAATGTTGGAAAGTCCATTCATTGCACTGTTGAGCATAAAAGGAGAGTGTATCCTTTGCAGGGCTCGTAAATAAAGTCTCTGGCAAGGACTGGATATTCAATAACATTTACTCGTTGATCAATTTATGCTGGCTGATTATATGGCAAAACCAACAAAGTTGCTAGTTTACAAATTCCCTTATTCACAAAGGAATACATTACACATACTGTCTGCAGGAAGGGTTTGCTTAGCATCCCTAGAAAAAAAAATGTTCACATTCTTTAGGTCTGACCCGTGGCAAGGACATAGCAAGGTTAGATAACATCTATTACTGACCATATGGAAGCTTTTAATTGTGTAAGCGCAGAGATTCAGACCAGCTGAATCCAAATTAAAATGCACATACAAAAAGAAAGTGTGATGGGCAGCTGAGGGACAAGAGACATTCAGACTAGCATATGGCGTTTCCTGTGGAGAGCAAGATGGTCCGAGCGTGAGAAACTACGGTCACAGTCCGGGCACTGGAAGGGTTTGATTCCGGTATGTTTACGGAAATGTCGTGTTAGTTCATCAGAACGAGCAAACTTCCACGTGCATCCCTCCCAGGTGCACTTGTATGGCTTTTCACCTGGGAAAGGGAACAGAGAACGAGGGATTTAAAGTGGGAAAAAAGGATGGGGCTTCTCCAGGGTGTTTCTGAATGTTAACACACAAATATGTGAACTGCTTTATACCATATGATTCATCCTCTCTCTCCCATTCAGACTCCAACTAATTCTTTTCCACTCATCCAAACTGATCTACCTAGCTAGCATAGTTTGTGAAGTTCTTGGTTTGCTTATGCATTTTTAAATGTGCATGAAGTGACTAGGTCAAGAAGGTTTTTGTGTTATATTTTGTTTGTATTACTCTGTCAACCCATCCCTCCCTTTCTTATCCTTGCCATTGGTTTGTTACATGTGCACTTGTTGTGTCTGGTCTTAATCTTCAGTCTCTGATCCTGCAAAGACTTAGATTTCAATAAAGTTAAGCACAAGCTTATGATACTATTCATGTGCTTAAAGCAAAGCTTGAGTTTAAGCATTGCAGGATTGAGTCCTTATGTTGTAAGTTCTTTGGGGTGATGATTGTCTCTTACTACACGTTTGTACAGCATCTAACACCACAGGGTCTCAATCTGGTCGCAGTCTCTACAAGTTACTGTAATGTAAATAATGATGTTGTCATAAAAGGTACATTTAAAGGTGGATCTGCTTAACTAATTTCCTTTCTATGAGCCTGATTCTCAGTTACACTAAGCTCCAGTATGTTGCTGGGGTGTAAACGGCCATAGTGTAAATGGGAATCAGGCCCTGTATCTTCTCTGAACGTGTCTTATTGTCACAAACTTCCAGTGTATGTCCAAACGTGTCCGGGCATACCTGGAACATGGTGATTAAGAATAGGTATGGGGACATCTTTATTTGAAAGGAGGTCTTAGAAAAGAGCATTCAGAAGGAATCTGACCAGTCTAAGAGTGGCTGGATGCAATGCCCAAATCTTAAGATGCTTTACATTTGGCGCCCAGTTGAGGCCTGTGTAAATGAGTGCTACTCCTATGGAAGTCTCAAAGCCAAATGTAGCAGTGATGCAGGTTGTGAGGTAGTGCAACTTGCATTGATTTGCATTCGGTGAGTATGCAAATGAGTACCTTACATGCCATGTGGGCAGAAGTGGATCTAGTGGAGAAAAAAGCAACTAACACGAGCATATAAGAGATCCTAGGAGGAGCCTGCTTTGACTTACAACTTCCTGTTAGCTGCTTTTCCTGCTCCATCCCCCTTCTACTCCATGGGCTGTAAGGGCATATCTATGCTTGGAGTGAGGGGTGTTATTCCCAGCTCAAGGAAACATACACTAGTTCCGACTTACCTAGAGTGCTAAAAATAGATTGTTGCCAGAGCAGCACAGCGGGTAGGATGGGATGCCTAGAGTATGTACCCATCTGAGACCACGGGCATGGGTGGCTAGCCCATCCCACTGCTCATGTCGTTGTGGCTGCACTCTGTTTGCAGTGTGCTAGTTCAATCAGACCTAGTGTGAGTATTTCTCCTTGAGCTTTCACACCCCTAGCTCCAATTGTAGACATACCCTATGTTACACACATTTTAACATAAGAATATAAGAACGGCCATACTGGGTCAGACCAAAGGTTCATCTAGCCTAGTATCCTGTCTTCCAACAGTGGTCAATGCCAGGTGCCCCAGAGGGAATGAACAGGTAATCATCAAGTGATCCATTCCCTGTCACTCATTTTGCAAACCCAAATGAATGTCAAACCTGTCTAACCTGCATGACTTCACCATTTATACCTGACATGTAACCTACCATTACCACTGAATTTTAATCTTGGGTTTCTGTAGCCAACCCGGACTAAAGGGAAGATTTTATCACTACATGATGGGACTTCCTAGGTCATGTGACTAGGACTCAGTGAGTTGGCAGAAGGAGATACATTTAGATTGCTTTACCCGTTCTTTCTTTAGAATGTTGTCTTGGTGGTCTTTACTTTAAACAGAACAATTCGGATAAATTTATGCTAGCCCATATATTTCCTTTTGTTTGAAAAAGCCTGAAGCACCTGTTATATATCTAGAGCTGGTCTTCTGCACAAACTAGAAGTCTGGCCTTGACTGATCCAGACCAATATGGATGAAAGGAAAGTGTACTAAGACTCATACCTGTATGCGTTCTTCTGTGTGCTTTTAGGTGGGAGCTTTTAGTATAGACCTTGTTGCAACCTTCGTAATCACACCTGTGTATTCTGCGTTTCCTTTGTGTGTCTGGAGATTCCACAGGTAAAGGTCTCTTTCCCGGCTGAACTATAACTGAAGGGTGATTCCTATGAAGTGAAGTTATAGGTTATGACTGATGAAAAGTATTTGACAAAGTAAACCTCATTGCAATGATCCACAATAGAGCCCCTTTATTCACTACCACTCTGTCTCTTGGCAATGTGAACTACATTACGTGCATGTAAAAGAATTTAAGAAGACTTAGCAAATTTTGTAGATTTTAGCAGTAATATTTTGATTCTTTCCTCTTTTGAGTTTATTCACTTTGTGGCATGAGCAAAACCAAAGATATTCTTCTCAGCATGCTTGGATTTTAATTTATTTTTATTTATAAAGGAATGAAAGTCAGACTCTTGTTTCTCAGGCAAGTACGCACAGGATTTCCAAACTCTCTCACTGAGTTTCCAGTTAACTTTCATTGCTTTTATTTACATTTTTTATTCTTCCTTAGAAGGCAGCTAATTTGTTTTTAATTTAAAACAGCTTTTCCATATTATTAAAGACATCATATCTTTAGTCTTAAAGCAGAACTCAGAGTCTTTATTGTTCCAGCCACTCCTTTAGAGAGTAATTAAGAATTTCCTGTTTGGTGCTGGCAGAAGGGTGCGGCCTCCCTTTACAACTGACGTCAATTCCTAAAAGTAGAGTTTAGACTGCATGTCACACCCACAGGATGTCTGAAATTGGCACGCCACCTTCATAAACATTATTTTTTCGCCTTTAACCCCACAGGTACTATTCAGGTAAGACATATATATTTTGCATGTACAATTTTTTATACATACATACATATATATATATATATATATGTGTGTGTATATGTGAATAAACACACCTTTCTAAAGATATTATCAGCTGCATATAAAAAAGACTGGGACCAGCCACGAACCTGCCTTCTATGCCAATGTTAGAGGAAGGAAAAGAGCAAAATATATTTTTTTAAACAGATAGGTCTTTTAAATCACACAGCTTCACTGGTCACATTTTCCAACTGATTAATGAATACATATTACACATTCTTAAATATTTTCTAGCTTTTAAGTGAAACTTAATGTGCCACTTCCCGCAGCTCACATTGGCCAGGAACAGTGAACCACGGCCATTGGGAGCTACGGGCGGCCGTGTCTGCGGACAGTCAATGTAAACAAACTGCCTTGCAGCCCGCCAGTGGATTACCCTGATGAGCCGCATGCGGCCCACAGGTTGCCCACCACTGCTCTGAGTCCTGTATATACTTGGTGACTTCTCTGTGAGCCTAAGGTGCCATGAGTAACTCAAAAAAGCATGCCCAGTGATGGAAAGATTTGTTGTTCAACATCATATTAAATGTATTTAAATTATTATGATGGGGTCACCAGATGATGCTGTTACACAGTCCTACATGTTCCTAGAATGTAAGCAAGTTTTTAGTCTTAGAAAAAATGTCTATTATTGTTAGTTTTGTTATGCAGTAGTCCTTTGACAGATGTTGTGGCAGAAAGAAGAAAGTAAATTCTCTGCTTTATTCTCTGGATTTGGAGGCAATTCTTGAGACACCAGCTTATTGAGAAGTAGGCATTGGTGTACAAGCTGACACTGGTGAAAGAGGAGGTTGCCTGCATGCAGTTTGTGATGGCCTTTGTTCCAGACTGGTATAGGTGTGTAAATAAAGCAAGTTACACTTAGGCTAGGTCTACACTACCCGCCTGAATCGGCGGGTAGAAATCGACCTCTCAGGGATCGATTTATCGCGTCCCATCGGGACGCGACAATCGATCTCCGAATCGATGCTCTTACTCCACCAGCGGAGGTGGGAGTAAGCGCCGTCGACAGAAAGCCGCAGAAGTCGATTTTGACGCCGTCCTCACAGCGGGGTAAGTCGGCTGCGATACGTCGAATTCAGCTACGCTATTCACGTAGCTGAATTTGCGTATCTTAAATCGACTCCCCCCTGTAGTGTAGATGTACCCTTAGAGTACATGCAAACTCTCTCTCTTATTCCTCTTCCACAGAATTCTGCAAGTGATTTCCAGAAGGGGACACTGGTTTAAGAAATGAGACAGTGGTGTCGGAAGAAGGGCCAACATTATTAAGTAACTGCTGAAATAAAAGATCATCTGTAATTCCACAAGGTCTTGTCTCTGCTTACACAAGCATATCTGAATTTATTTGAGCCTTGCACATGTGGGTGTTTTTCCTCAAACAACTAAGAATGTCTTCCAAAAATCATGTTATGACAGTTTATTTAAGCACTGCCTTGTCCCCACACCCACAGCCCACGTGATGATGGTAGCATGAGTCAAACTTTGTGTTTTCTTGTTTGTGTGAAATCAAAATTAAGGCTTCATATTACGTTTCAACCCTGTCTGTGTATGGCAATAGTCTGAAAACAATACATGAACTTTGACTTAAAGGGAGACCTCTGATATTTCTTTAATTCCCATACAAAAGACGTTGACGTGGGTTAAGATAGCTAGATTGTACAACCCACCAATGCTCATTGTAAGACGTCAATGGCTTTTATGTATTTTACATACAACACCCCCCCTTACAATATTCAAATAGCAAATTCAAGCACTCAAGAGTTAAAAAATGCCAGATTTATGGTTGCTTGTGCCACCTTCATTCAGTCCCCTTATATGTACATCCCATGCACTGAATAAGGCAAGGGTCCTGTGGAAAAATAGTATGTTATTATATAAATATAATAATGCATGTTCAGAAGGGGACCAAATTAAGGTTGCATGGGAAACTCAAAATCTGACTTTCCTAACTTTCAAGTGCTTGATTTTGCACCTAAAAGAATGTTAGTTTAATGCAATATTTTGTATATGATATCCTAGGTTTTTTTGAAAGGACAAAGTTAAAAACTATTCTGTACAAATGACCTCCCTATCATCCATCAATAGTAGGATCTGAACCATGAGCCTTCAGCACTACAGCAGGACTAAACACACTACATGGCAGTAGGAGAAGGCTGACATGCCAGAGTGGAGGAAGGGCTGCTGGTGCCCGATGCTTGGTCCAGAGGATGATCAAGGGGAGTCCAGCCCAGCTCATTCTCTCTGGTCCACCCTAGGCTACTAGATCCACAGGTTTATTGCTTGGCTCTCTCTCCCCCCTCCCCTGGGAGGTGGGGGACTCCTGTCCCATATGATGCTTCTGTTGGGGATGCTTCATGTGCCAGGCTGTCGAGGATGGAGGGATTATTGGGGGGAAGCCCAGCCCAGCTCTCCCCCAACTACTGCTATAACTGTTCTGGCATTCCCAGTATAGAGTCTGCTGCTTTGGCAGAAGCATGGGCCAGGCTCTCTAGAATGTTCAGTGGCTGTGGCGGCTGCCAGAATTTTCCTGAGGAAATGGTGATTTTTTTAACACTACAACTGAGGTAGATCTGAATGGAGTTACATGGGACAAAAAAGGCATTTCTGCAACCCGAGGGGTTTCTCCCTAGCAAATATCAAAGGCCTGTTACCACCAGGAGGTGTTGCTGCTTCTCTAAGAAAAAGGTCACAAAAATTCACCCCATCCCCAGTGTAATATTTTTCCAGGTTACCAGAGTTTAATACCTGTTTAAAAATGGGCCCAGTTCTGTGAGACTATTACAGGAAGAACTACTACTGACTGCACTAAAAGCTCCATTTGTAGTGGTTTGCAGGACTGGGCCCCATATTACTTTAGGAACACATTATACAAATATAGAAGATCTATGTAGTTCACATGTACATAGCATGCATACTAACCATTACACTGCTGAAAACAAAGTTGAGGCTGAAGGGTAGAGGAGGAAAAAACTAAGCACAAAACTCAATTCATTTACAATCTGCAACCCTTATTTACGATTTTTCACCACGTTTCAAAGTACAGTAGCTTTCCCCTCAAAGAACCTATATTTTGTAGCTTCCGTATATGGAATCCAATGTACAGCAAGGCAGTATGTTTCATTGTTCAACTGAAGATAGATACTTTAGGACTAATTACTTACTCTTGCAACATTATTTGCTGAGGAGACAAGGAGGTCATCATTGGAGGAGACATTTGTTCAGGATAGAACTCGGGCCTTGGGGATTCAATTCCTGGTTCTACTTTGATTGTTTTCTTTAATGTGGGCTTCTCATAAGATTCAATTACAGGCACTAGAGGGAGAAAAATCAAATATATAAAGAATTATGTGAGTTAAAGGAAAGACAAAATCTATAAAAAACCTCCCAAACTAACATGATATCTTGCATCAAGACTCGTATTAGAATACAAGACTTTTCAATTTTCAGTCTACCTCCTGAGGAATTAGAATGCAACGCAAGTCTATTCTTGTGTATACCAGTTCAAATCTAGATTACTTCTATTTATATCAATAGATTTATATGGGTATCAATGAGAGCAGAATTTGATCCAGTAAAACTAGGGGAAAATATTCACACAGTAAAGTCTAGGGATTGTGTGTTTTAGAAGAAAACAAAAGAATATTTGTCTCCCTTTTTCATTTCCCTTCAAAATATTTTGACTTATCCTAAAAAACTCATGGATACACAGTTATTTTTCTAGATCTGACTAGCAAAAAAGGAGTAGTGGTCCCAATTGTTTTGCTGGAAGAAAATATGTCATGCCCCCTCTCTCTCCCCAGCAACTGAGCAAAACAAAAAAACCAAACCACACCACACCAAAGCAAACTAAAGAGACAAAACAACTCCTCCCCCTATAGCCAGCTGAATGGAGTGGAGGAACACCTCCCCTCCCCCCAAAAACAACCCCAAACCACTGAATGGCACAGCAGTACAGCAAGCCCCCGGAAGTTGGCGCCCAGGGCAACTGCGTTGCATAAAAGAGCACCGGTCCCGCATAAAAGAGAAACATAGCACAACAGCACCCACCTTGCATGCTACTTGGATTTTCCAACTCTTCTGGAAGAACAGTAGACACCATTATAGGTTGCTGGAGATGTGGAGCATACATAAAAGGAACAGGTTGGACAACAAGTGGCTGTATAATTGGAAGTATCCCAGGGCTCCTAAGTCCAGGGCGTGAAAGAGCAGCCATTACTGGAGGGATTGTTAATGGCATGGAAAAAGGTTGAACTCCTGGGGGAGGTGGTGGGGTGAATTTTTTCATAGGTGGGCTGGGTGAGGACAAAGTTAATCCAGGTGAGGCTCTTCTATGTACAGTCTGAAATTTCAGAGGAGAAGGAGAACTTCCAGCTGAATGTGGTGAGCTTCGTTTATTCACTGTAAGGTCAACTGGCTCCATTTGGATTCCATTAGATAGTCCTTCTGGGGTTTGATAGAATTTATTGTGCAACATATTTGGGGTAGGATAAATGACACTGTATTTGTTTGGCTTCATTTGGTCCATGTAATTGGACTGGTATGACTGTGAGAGGGGAAAAAAAAAAGGATGAGAATTGATACAGAAGCCATAACATAGGGAAAAAAATAAAAATCTAGCACTAAGTTACAAATGGCTGATCAAGTGAAGGAAAATAAAAAAGATGAAGACAAAGCATTTTCATGTACTTCTTTCTCTGAGAGATTTCTCACAAGGGAAATGATTCAATTTCTGATTCACTAATCATTTGGGAAGCAGTACACAATACATGATGAAACAGGGAATAAAACCAGACAACTCAAAATTTATTCAAAGTGCTTTACAAATATTTATTAAGTTTCATATCCATCCTGCATGGTAGGTACATTACGTACTATCCCCATTTAGAGATGGATAAACTCAGGCACTATGGAGACTAAGCAAGACAGTGGTGAAGCTGGAAATAGAACCTCAGGCATCCTAAGTCCCCCGTGATTGTTCTAATAACTGGAAAACACTGCGCCTCAGTCTTCACTAAAACAGAAATCAATTCTACACACAAAGCCCCCCAAACCAAAATGTATGCAACTGAGCTCCACAAACAGTATCAGAGACAGTAAATGTGAAAAAGCAAAGAGGGAAATGAGTACATTCTAAACCATTTTTTCAGTGTTTTTTCTCGGAGAGGGGTTGGGGAGAATGCAGCTAACTTGCTGTTTTAAACTTGGAAAACAGCTATCCAGAAGAGGGGCAAAGGGTCTGATTATCTGACGTGCTGAGTGAGTATTTCCTGTAAGTCAAGGGGAGCGAGTTGATGATTCTCTTTCAAGATTAGGCCCATAACTGACCCTTTCATACCTAAGCAATAACATTTTCCAGTAAAATACTGAGAATCACCATAGCATTGCATAATTTGTACCACCTCTGAGATACTCTACTGAACAGTTTCTCGTATTAAAAATGTGTAAAACCATGTAATTTTTAATGAAGATAACTAGTTATATGAACTGATGAGATGTGCCAAAATATGAACAACACAAAATGTAGACTATCCATTCTACTAATTTTTGATACCAGCAGTTTTATTAACTGAATTTCCACTAGTGGTTCTTGGACAAGTCAATCCTTGCTCTGTAGCTATGCTGTTTCGTGACAGTAATAAAATACAGTTTAGATTTTTGGAAGAACATTGGACCGGAAAGGGGATGTGGGGAAAATTTTAAAAAATGTTTAAGGATAGAGATAATTTATGAGCATAAAGCTAATGGATTCTAGTATACAATCACTCCCATGATATTTTTAAATGCATTTTGTTAGGACTAAAAATTCTAGCTAGAGCTTGCATTGCTCTTACATCTGTATTCCCCTCCTCCTCCCAGGTGTATTTTAACTGCTATTCATTTGAAGCTTAGCCAAAAATGTTGTTGTAAAGTATTTTGGAGTTATTGCCTTTGTTTTGATTATTGCAAGAAACAATTCTATGACACTTTAGAAAATGGGAAGTTCTTCTGTAGAATTCCTACAGCAACAAAGCGGAGTAATTTATTCTGTACTCCATGCGTACACATAACTAGCATTAATTAAAAATAAAAAGTTACACACACATAGGGAAATTAAAAGAGAACGGCCACCTATGTGGTTGGTAATAACATTTTTCATTTCTAGAATTTACTTAAAATTATATAATGGATTAAACGTAAGAATCTTTGTAGCAGTTATATTCAGTTGATCTTAAGGGATTATTTTTCATATAAATAGAATTTATGCTTATACCTATAGTAAATTAATAATTTAGCTATCATATCAGTATTTGTTCTTGATAATAAAGTTCACAGGAATTCATGTTTTAGATCTTTTAACTATTTTAGCACGTGCGCGTCTCAGAGCAAGATATACACAGAACTCACAAGCACTCTTGGATAAGGAAATAATTATATTTATTAGAATTCTGAGTGATCAAGGCCACAGACTACTGATGGAGTTTAATATTTAACACTATTTAGCATCTACTGAATCTGATTAAGGCATGGATGTAGGTAGAAATTCAAACACTTAATATATAAGCTGTATTAAGTGCTTGTGTTAAAACTTATGTTATTGGCCTACAGTACAAAGTCCACTTGACTTCATTATGTAGGAACATTTAGTGGTACAGCTAGGCAACAGTGGAACCCTGGAAGAATTATCACAACATCACTATGTGTACATTAATTTTTTGAACTGCGTTCCAGAATCAGTGAACAATAATAGAATTCCTAGAACATTTTTCATCCAAGTAAAGTAATCTTGTATTCAGACAATATAAGGTCCTGAACCTACAGACATTTGCGTATCTGACTGCCTTCATGCACAAGAGTAGGCCCGCTGTGTCACAGTCTGCGAAAGTTTCAGCAGACCGGGGCGTAACCAATCTTTCTGTTTTTAAAACCATGCTGTATTGAGAAGGCCTAGGAGGACTGTAACAGAGTAATGGAAAAGCAAAATGAAGAAAGACTATCCAATTAAAATCTTAGTTTAGAGCAGAGAATTTTTTCAGGAAAGTAGGAATCTGCAGAAGAATGAAACACCTTTGGGCTATAACCTAGTTCATTAAAACATTTTTCTTTCTTTCAAGACTCCAAGTCAAATGAAACTCACATTGGAAAAATGCCAATCTATTAAAACAGTAGAGCAGAAAAATACTGTAATGTTTCTGAGCTGTTTGGGGAACTTCTTAGTATTAGTTTAGAAAAGTTAGAGATTAAATTCAAAGTAACAAAGACTTCAAAAATTAGGATGCTGACAATTATATTTTTAAAACAGTTGATTTTTGGGGGATTCAAACCTGCTCCCGACATCTTCAATTGCTTTGAATGAAAGGTTTTCATTGTTGTAACTAAACTGGCACAGATTTGACTTAACTCAGCTATTCTTTTGTGCCAGACTGGAGAGGTTGTTTCATTTTTCTAAGCTTTCCTTCACTCTGAGATTTTGCTTGCCATGTTCCTATTTGAACTGCAGATAATGTTAGCGATAGGAAAAAAGTAGGAGACAAAGTTTTTCTTTACAAAACTAAGTAGGAAAAAATTCTGTAATCTTAAAAAGCAAAAGAAGAAATGCTAGGTAGAGAAAACCTTAAAAGTCAACAGAGGTATAAAAAAAACAGAAAAAAATGTAACAAATTTCTCACTTCAGATTATACATATAAAAATCATCCAAAACATAGTCAACCATTTTCTACATTATATTGGTACATAAAAAACTGAAACAAAAGTGCAGGCTATAACATTATAGATCAATGTAAAGTAAGAGTATTCTGTCAATCAAACAGACACAAATAATATATACAATACAACCTACTTATACTGCAACTCATATAGTGCTCTAGTGACGCTGCACTTCAAGTGAAGGGAAAGTCACTTTCAGCTGAATCTCACACCTCTTTTAGTGAAGCTTCATTTGTCTTCTAGAAGAGTGAAACTTCATTATGAATTAATTTTAATCCCTCTGGAATGCAACAATTACCATTGTCAGATTGATAAGAATTGATACTTTTCAAAAAGACTGTAACTGCCCCCTACTTCTCCAAGCTTGCCTGGAAAAGCTGGCCATCACGTGGGGGGAGCAGTAAAGAAGAATCTCTTACTACAAGTATCAGAGGGGTAGCCGTGTTAGTCTGAATCTGTAAAAAGCAACAGAGGGTCCTGTGGCACCTTTAAGACTAACAGAAGTATTGGGAGCATAAGCTTTCGTGGATAAGAACCTCACTTCTTCAGATGCAAGTAAGCCACTGTGATGGGTTGGATCACAGAAACCCCTTTGGGAGCTGCCACCCGATGTGCCAAGACTACCCCTGTTCCTGTTTTCCCTGCCAGCCCAGGACTCCAGCACCTTGTCTTGCTGAGCCAGACACTCCCATCTGGCTCCAACACAGACCCAGGGTCTGAATCATTTGTCCCAAAGCTGCAAGTTTACCTGAAAACAGCTCACAGAAGTGTGCTTGTTTTTAGCACTCAGATGCCCAACTCCCAATGGGGTCTAAACCCAAATAAATCCGTTTTACCCTGCATAAAGCTTATGCAGGGCAAACTCATAAATTGTTCGCCCTCTATAACACTGATAGAGAGATATGCACAGTTGTTTGCTCCCCCAGGTATTAATACATACTCTGAGTTTTCCATTACTTGAATCTGAAGAAGTGAGGTTCTTACCCACGAAAGCTTATGCTCCCAATACTTCTGTTAGTCTTAAAGGTGCCACAGGACCCTCTGTTGCTTCTTACTACAAGAACTCCCAACAGTAACCAAGAGAAGTGGTTTGGGATCTTGCTCCCCACTAGGAGTGACTACTTGGTCTTCCAGAGCCTCCAATCACAGCAGCCAGTGGCCCTGAAGCCTGCAGTTTCGGGGAGTGAAGAGAGGTCTCCCATAAGAGATCTTTTCCTACTGGTAGATCCCATTCTGCTATGTAGGAACTTCGCTAACAGTGATGGTTTGTGTGAAAGATCTACCTAAAGATGGCTCCAAATCAGCAAACAACTTATTCACGTGAGCTTTCCACTGAAGCCAATGGCACTACTCACATGCTCGAAGTTAAGCATGGAATTAAGATCTGTACTGAACTGAAGGCTGTTAAAGAATCCCACTGTTGTCCTATGACTGCAGAGGTGGTAATAGGCCACTATACCTTGATTGGTCCCTTAGACTATCTGCTAACTACTTATGCTAAACAATGTGTTCTACCTTGCATTTAGCTGTGATGCTGGGAGTACCTTTCGTAGACCTGAAGAAGAGCTCTGTATGGTTGAAATCCTGTCTCTTTCACCAACAGAAGTTGGTCCAACAAAATACATCACCTCACCCACCTTGTCTCTCTAATATCCTGGGACCGACATGGCTACAACAATACTGCATACCCATCAAACACACACCCCTTAACTTTACAGTGACAATATACAAATGTTTTCTGTTTTGTAATGCTAAAAATAGAGGATCTCCTGCCAATATGCAAGAAACATTTTACAAGTAAGAGAGTAATGCAAAATACCTTAGAATATATATAATTAACCCCAATTTAGAGTCAATTGTAGATTGCCGAAATATTACAGGATACTATATCACCGCAGAAGATTATTATAAAGGTGCAGGACTGTATTTGAGCATATATTCCTAAACAGTTTCTTATCTAGGTACTTATATTGCCCACATCACTGTTCTACCTATTTGGACCAACCAAAACTTTCTCTCCTTACTTAGTGTCTGTCCTTAATCAGGACAGACGATTTGACCCACAGATTCTCTCTATGAAGAACAAATGCAGGTAACTTGTAAGGTTTACTTTTTTGGCTGCAGCTATTTGAAGGTAGTCAGGTAATTCATCAAATTGCAATTCAAATATGTAATTTGTTAAAAAAAAATAAAAAAAGAAGTATTACTACACTTCTCCACTTGACAATCTGGCAAGATTAAAGGCTGACCAAGTGTGGCATATGCACACCTATTCCCACCCACAATTGGTTGCTCCCATAAAGAGACATTCTGAAGGACTACTCTAAATATTAACTGCTATATTCCATAAAAAAGTTTGTAGTGAAACAACTCGATTACTTGACAGGCTTAGTTGTCCGGTTGAAGTCACATGAGAAGGGTGACCAGGATTTAACCTGATATACTATATAATTTCCCCCAAAGCATTTTTATTATTCATGCTTACAAGATGAGATTTATTCACAAATGCACTAGTTACAAAATACCTCAAGGTATCATGTAGCTAGGTCACTTGATCTTAAAAAGTTGCAAACCAAATAGTTTTGGAGACTGCTTTGGGACACAAAGGTTGTTCACTTCAATTTCAAAAGAAAGTAGGCACCACAGAAAAAAAAGCAACTTTGGCAAGTAAATTGTCACTGTCTTTGCCCAAGCATTTAACAAATGCTTGTAACAAATATTCACTTTATTTTAGGTGGAACTGAGATAACATTGTAACTAGATCTATTATATACCATCATTTAAACGTTTTCTTCATTTAATAAAATGTGCACAATAATTCAATGCCACAGAGTGTATGGGCCAATAATAGGACGATAAAATACTTTGGGTGTGTGTTTTAACCATCTGAGAAGTGTAGCTAATCCTTTAAACCACATACCTTGAAACAAGCATTGGTGTTAAAAACTTTGTAATTTCTTTCCTTCCCCCACCCCAAACTTGTTAATGTCATAAGCTAGTGGTGTTTTTGAACAAATATTGCATAGACAATACATGGTGCATTCTGACATATTTTAATCTGGTTTTGCTATTAAAATAACTAATGATTTTTAATAGTTTAATTTTGTTTGATTTCTTACAATGCTATCAAAGCAGCAGATACAACACGTTTAAGGCCTGATTTTAAAGGCTCTGAGCACTGTCAGCTCCCAGTGAAGTTAATGGAATGCTCATCTCCTCTGAGAATATGATAATAGCTCTTCCGCTATCAATCCCATGGGAGATGGTTAAGAAAGTTAGCTTGCTTAGGCCTGGTCTACACTTAAAAATTAGATCAATCTAGCTACAGGGGTAGGCCCTGGTAGTTAAACTTGACCTAACCTCTGTTGTAGATGTGGCTAGGTCAATGGAAGAATTCTTCCATCAACTTAGCTACTGTCTCTTGGAGAGGTGGATTAACTACATAGATGGAAAGCCCTTCTTTTGTTGATGTAGGAAGCATCTACGCTATAGTGACACAGCTGGAGGATAGGCATCCACTTAGTAGCTATGCTATTTTTCTTGTCATGCTCTCTTCACACGGAGATCCTCTCTCTCTTTAAAGGGGGCTACAGGCCAGCTGTCTGCTAAGGCTATATCTACACTTCAGCATAGTTATGGAACTGTAGCTATGCTGCTGTAGCCCCGCAGTATAGACGTAGACTACAGAGATGGAAGGGGTTTTTCCGTCACTGAGCAATGGTAGCATGATTCCATCAACCTAGCTATGTCTAGACTGGAGGCTGGGTTAGCATAGTGATGGTACTCAGGGATATGGATTTTTCACATCCCCAAGCACAGCAGCTATGTTGACCTATGTTTTAAGTGTAGGCCAGGCTTAAGTAGTTCCTGATGGCCTAGCTCCAAGGGAGCTGCACTACCAGGGACAGCTAGGAAGACCAGCATCTCAAGGGTTTGGGGGACTAAATGGCCAGTTTACCCACAGAGGTAGACTCAAAACCTCTTACTCTCCTGAGGAAGAACTGAGGAATCTCTTAGAGGGGAACTTCATAGAATTTTCTTTCCTCCTTTGTACCTTCTTATGAGAGAACCTACAATCAGGCCCAACGTTATTTCCTTTTCCTAGCTACACTCATTTAATGCAGCAAGCAAAAGGACAACATGAATATTTAATAAAAGGAAATAGCCCTGTGATGGCTGGCCAGAGTGGTGGCAGAAAGTAATCTGCAAGACAGTGTTGAAGTCCCAGCACAGGGAAAGTACAATTTATCTTCAAATAGCACATGGAAGCGTAATAGCCCACTCCTGGGCTAGATTACTTAACTAAAAAAACACTCACTACACTAGAAATGTATGTGGACCTATTAGGTCGACCTGCAGCCACTGCAGTGGTGCATGTCCACACTACCCTCATTGGGTCGATGGTGCATGTCCTCATCAGGAGCACCTCCCACCAATCTAAGAAGGGCAGTGTGGGGAGCTGAGAGTCCGGTTTCCCCTCTTCTCCCACCACCCCCCCCCCACACTAGTAGCCAGGCAGCTGTGTCAATTTCATGGCTCACGCTGCCAGGGCTTCTCCCCCGGCTCCCAGCCTGGAGTGGGGTTCATTCTTCCCCTGGAAGCGGTGGCAGATGGGCTCTATCTGCCTGGCAGGGATGCAGTGTCTACACAGGCACTATGTCACTCTAACAACACCGACATAAGCCTTATGCCTCTTGTGGAGGTGGAGTTATGATGTTGGTGTAGTATGGCACTTGCATTGGTGGGAGAAAGGCTGGAGTGTTGACAATGACATAATTAGGGCGACATACGCTGCCTTATGTTGACCTAACTGTGTAGTGTAGACCAGCCCATAGTATTTGTCGGTTGATTAAATCCCTATTCCTCATTGCTAGAACAGGCATTTCCCTGCCTCTGCTCAGAAGACTACAATGTAAACAACACAGCAAAAAAGTAAATTGTGTTTCTAAAATTCAAGTAGTTTAAACAATCTAAAGGTATTTTAGCAACCAACATAGATAAATGTATTTAAAATTGGATTTAAATTGATAGTGCCCCTTTTACATTTTTTAATTGGTAAAGGCAGCAAACTTGTCACTGAAAGCTGCTTTTCAAAGGCTTTCTACCAAATATTACAAATAACAATATCCATGACAACTTTGTTTCTAGGGCCTCAAACTGACCCTTAAGTCTTGTATAACCACTGTTGGCAGGAATAGCAACAGCCAAAACAGAGATGATCTAATTTTATAAGTTTCTCATTACCAGCTTTCTGTCCAAATTTTTTCCCTTTCAACTATTTTCCAAGTACACGGAAGCAGAGAGGCCTATGGCACCAGACTCACCCTAGAACAGCCTAGGGCCCAGATGTTCCTGCAAGGTGTTTATTCTTTCCCCTCCCTCCCTCCCTCTGCATAGCTCTCATGGTAGGCCTCAAAAATCACCATGAAAAGTAAACATGGGGCTGGCATCCTGACCAATGTAAGCAACACTAATGGCACTGTCTCCAGAAAGAGAAAATAACGCTACTAATGTGCAAATTTAGCCATTGCTGTTACTCAGGTATTCTGTTTCACAGCAGTTCTCCGAGGAGGCCAGGCCCTGTGAAGTTCACAGGAGTTCTGCTATTGATTTCATTGACAGCAGACGCAATCCCTACATGGCAATCAGGGTGATAACATGTTTGAAGACTTACCACTGAAATAGGTTCCATGGCTTCTTGCTTGATAGGGACTGGATCAAACATTAGCATCTTTTCAGTGAAATCTTCTGATGTCTGTGTCGTCCTGGGCTACAGGGAGTGGAAAAAAACAAGTTAAGTTGTAGGAATGGCTAGAATCAAGTTTCTGAATTTTTTTTTAACTCATTATTCCATAATATTAAATTTATTTGATTTAATTCTTCCAAATCTAGAGATAAGCTTTATGTTTTCAAATATTCTATTATAATAAAACTGTTTGGTGGTAGGATATAAAAGTTACTTTGTAATTTCAGTAAAACCCTATGATCAGAATATATTTAGGCATAGTCCAGTGGATGATCGGTCAAAAAGTACCAAACAGGCATTCCATATACGTTTTTTCTATAAAAATAACCTTAATGAATTTATAATGAATGGAAATTTGTCATTAATTCCACAATGCATAAGCTATGAAATATCCAACTGTATACAATAGGTCTTCTCATTAAGTATTGGACCATGCTTTTTAAAATTCCTTAAAATGTTCCAGTGTTATCATTTGCACAGTACCTTCCTAAGGAGCCCAGTCCAATTGCCATGAAAAGGCATCCATTGACTTCAACAGACGCTAGGTTGGGCTCTTAAAGTGCAGATCAGCACACCTACAGCATGGAGTTACTAGCTTTAATTAGCTGCAAGTAGCTGAAGACAGTATGTCCCAGCTCAGATCATGCACTTTTTCTATCATTTCAAGTTGAGATTAATTTAGGGTTGCCAACTTTCTAATTGCACAAAACTGAAAACCCCTTCCCTGCTCCTTCCCTGAGACCTCGCCCCCACTCACTCCACCCCCCTCCCTCTGTCGCTTGCTCTCCCCACCCTCACTCACTTTCATCGGGCTGGGGCAGAGGTGTGTGAGAGGGGTGAAGGCTCCGGTTAGGGGTGTGAGCTCTGGGGTGGGGCCAGGGATTTGGGTTTTGGGGTGTGGGAGTGGGCTCCGGGCTGGGGCAGAGCATTCGGGTGCATGGGGGAGTATGGGCTCTGGGCTGGGGGTGCAGGCTCCGGGTGGGGCCAGAAATTAGTGGTTCAGGCTGTGGGAGAGGGCTCCAGGCGGGGGCAGCAGTAAGGATTATGGTTGGGGGTGCATGCTCTGGGGTGGGCTGGGGATGAGGGATTTGGGGTGCAGGAGGGGGCTCTGGGGTGGGGCAAGGGGTTGGGGTGTTGAGGGTGGTGTGGGCTCCGGGAGGGAGTTTGGGTGTGGGAAGGGACTCTGGCCTGGAGCAGGGGTTTGGGTGTAAGAGGGGGTGAGGGGTCCCGGCGGCGCTTACCTTGGCTCCCGGGAAGAGGCCTCCAGGTTCCTAGAGTCCCTAGATGCATGGGTGGCCAGGGAGACTCTGTGCGCTGCCCTCATGCCCGCAGACACCACCCCTGCAGCTCCCGTTGGTCGCAGTTCCCAGCCAATGGGAGCTGCGGAGCCGGCCCTCAGGGCAGGGGCAGTGCGCGGAACCTCCCTGGCTGTGCCCACACCTAGGGGTCGCAGGAACTTGGTGGTCGCTTCCAGAAGCCACATGGAGCTAGGGCAAGCAGGGACCCTGCCTTAGCTGCGGGCCCCTGCTGCACCGCTGACTGGACTTTTAACGGCCTGGTCGGCAGTGCCAACCAGAGCCGCCAGGGTCCCTTTTTGACCAGACATTCTGGTCAAAAACCAGATGACTGGCAAACCTAGATCAATTTTTTGTTTAGCCGAAGAGACAGTGAACATGAAAAGATCTGAATCAGATTCAGGAAGAATGGCAGCCCAATACTTGCCAGTCTCCAGTCAGTAAGCCTGATGGCAATGTTGATAACACTCTGGTGCTTTGACACCTACTTCCACGCTTGGAAGAAATTAAAAACAAAGCTAATTTGGAGAGGTACAATAGACAGCCTCCCAATCAGACATCACAACTGATAATTCAACTATTTCGCCAAAAGGAACTATGACAACTCAACCACTATTTTGAAATAACATTTCCAAGAGTTTCCTTATTAAAAACAAGATTTCAGAATTTAGACTGTGTTCTGTGTAGCCAAAATTGCTTTAAAAAGGGAGCCATGTACTTTGTTAGCTTGTTCAAGCCTATTTTCAAGTCTATCTCATTTATAGTAACTTAACTATCCCAGGTAATAACCATATTTACACATTTACCAAGGGTGACAACTGTGGAGGAAGGATGGGAAGACGTTAGCAAGGACCAGGAGCCTTGGGAGCGGGACAGAGAAATACCAGAGAGGCTACACGGTAAAGCCAAATATTTTAGACAAGTGAAGGAAGTTAATACTCAAAGACATTAAAAATTTCCAGTTGACAAGTTTTTATAAAAAACATTTAATATCATTTATGAGACTGCAGATATCATATATGAGAAGGCAGAGCCACAAATAGAATCTTCCAGAGTACAGCCTGGAGGACTGGCAGAGTATTCCAGTTGACGAGGAGAGTATGGGATACAATTTGTCTGGGATGGTGAAGTTGTATGTCCTGTACAGTATATGCAGTGTTGTAGCCGTGTTGGTTCCACAATATTAGAGACACAGGATGGGTGAGGTAATATCTTTCATTGGACCAATATCTGTTGGTGAGAAAGACACTTTCGAGCTTACACCGAGCTCTTGAAGAGCTTGAAAGCTTGTCTCTCTCACCAAAAGAAGTTGGTCCAATAAAAGATATTACCTCACTCACCTTGTCTCTGTACAGTATATATAAAGACTGATGTTAAGTATTAACAAATTCAATTGCATCCAGTAGGTGGCACTAGAAATCCATAACAAATAAAATGCTACTGTACTCCGTCAAGACAATTTCACTGGGTGTAAGCTTAAGACTCACTAATATATTAAAAGGTTTTAATTGTGTCTGGAATTTTTTTCTTATGAATCAAACAGTTTAAATGGGACACAAGAAAATATATGCCCCAAATTAGACCAATTCCAATAGTCCTATATTAATGAGCAATCATGCAATAGTCAGCGTGTATGCATTTGAGAAAACAATTTGAGATATGTGAGAGAAAGAAAGAGAATGAATTGTTTCAAGCCCACCAGAGATTTACTTTATAAATCAAGGGCAAAGTTTAGTAATTTATGGAAAATACGACAACAGTATACTTTCTAAGTACACCTCTACCCCGATATAACGCAACCCGATATAACACGAATTCGGATATAATGCAGTAAAACAGCGTTCCGGGGAGGCGGGACTGCACGCTCCGGCGGATCAAAGCAAGTTAAATATAACGCGGTTTCACCTATAACACAGTAAGATTTTTTGGCTCCCGAGGACAGCGTTATATCGGGGTAGAGGTGTACTTGAAATGAACAAAGCTTGATTTTGAAAGAACAACTAAAGCATCATTGAATATCAGCATGAATATCAACATCCTGAAAAAAGGGGAGGGCCTGATTAAACCAAGTTGAGAAAATGAGAAACAGATACAGTAGTTCAAAGAAACTGCCAGTTTTGTCTAAATTAAAAGTAAGTAATACCTTTGAAAGATAGAAAATTTTATAATTTGGATGTGTCTATGTTCATTTGTCAATAAGGCCTGTGAGAAAGTTGAAAAAACAATTATGCAATCTTTCCTGCAACTTCAGGGAATCATTTAAATTAGATATTTTTCTGAGTTTAAGCATTTCATATCATTTTCTGACAAATTACATTTTCCTAGTCACTTTCATGTGAAGGAACTTTGTCTATACATGACTTCCCAAAGACACAGATATATGCATCTAACAATACATGAATGGACAAAGGATATCCCACAATGCAAAAACAACCCAAGCCTACACTGCATGCCAGTCTTCATATCTATGAGAATTTGTAAATATTTGCTTTCAGAAGGTTTCCAGAAGCTTTCCATTTTTTAATTTAAATGTGTTTTGGTGAAGTGACACCATCAACTTGTAATCTAGTCACTTGAAGGGGAAAAAAAAGTTTAGTAGTTTCAGATAATACACCTTCCCTCATCCCCCACCTATTCCCTCTGCCATTTGTTGTAGTTTTGAAAATCACATTTTTCTATTTTTAAGGTTTGTTTTTTCTCTCCTGCTGCTATGTGAGAGACCCACACAGAAAATCATAGAAAGGTGACTAAGGCCCATATCCTGCAAACACTTAGCATATGCCTAACTTTACACACACATATTTGCAGAATTAGGGGCTAACTGACTGTACAGAGGTTAGAATGAAACTGACAACAGAAAGTGTCTTGCAGAGAGTAAAAGTGAAAAATTCTTTGTCTTTCGTAGTCATCTAAAATAGTAGATACAATTTTTACTTTTATTGCTGTATCATAGTATATAAGTTGAGTTTCCCTTTAATGTGTTATACTGTTCTTTTACTGTACTATTTCTACCTAAATAGTAAGAGAGGATGATTTTGGACAGAGGACCATACATTATCCATGATCTTTTTGTCCTGCCTATATTCTCAGCTGGTGTAATATGGTGTAGCTCCACTGGAATCAGTTTACACCAGCTGAAGGTCTGACACTTATGAAATTGTTGTTCTGGGATAAACTCTAAGGGTGAAAATAAATGCATGGAACAATGATCTGTTTATTTAAAAGAACAATGCTTGAATGGAAGAAAGACACACTGGTTGTGAAGTCTGAATTTATTTCAAGTAAGTAAACAAAAAAATTTTATTTTGTTATTTCTGATAATATTTTATAGTAAAGGTTCTGTAGTATACTTGTAAAAAATCATACATATGTAGGTATGCAAGATCACATTATACTCCCCTGCTATTAAATGTTTGAGAAGCAGGCGGGAGACTGCCTTATTTGTTTCAAACCTAAGGTGTGAAGAATAGTAGGGATCTGCTACTATTTTGTAATATACTTGTTTCACAGCCCACAGGTTGTTTAGTAAATAAGATTAATTTATAGAAAACTAAAGTATCCTCTCAAGTACCTGTGGCACCCTCCTGACAGCAAAGCAAGGAGAAACCATACAAGTCACCCAAACCATATTAAAAAAAATCAGAAGAGTCGTCTTTATCTTTCTCAATTTAGATGAGCTATTTTGCATGGAAGTGTTTTTATGTGGGTAAAAGAATGTATGCTGTATGTAATCTGAAACTAAATAATTAACTGCAATCCAGTAGGCAAACATTCCACCCTCTCTTTCTCTTTGCTAACAAGCCACCCAGTTTTACTTTCCTGCCTCCTCCCATTCACTCCACCCTATGGATCTTTGCCAAGGCAGTCCAACTTGTCCAAACAGGACATGGCTTTTGATAAGATTCTGCTCACACCCTGTATTTCTAAAAGACAAGCCAAGCAATTCATTTTTGTATGCAAATAAGGACAGGTGCAAAGGTAAAGTCCAAGCAAAGTCCCTCAACATTTTCACAGCTAAAGCCAAGCGAAAAGATAGCAGGTAAGAAAAAAACAAACCCCTGCCCTTTATTAAAGGAAAACGCTATGTTCAAATCCTATGGAATTTTTACCATCAAAATCGTTAATTTTCTTGTCAACATCAGAGACTTCTCAGTTTTAACTTCTTGACATGTATGGTTTGATGTGAGTAAGAGTACTTAACACGTGTTCCAACAATAAGGATTTGTACAGACTATTTACTCTGGATGAGATTCGCCCATGGGCATAGCAGCCACAGCACTGTACCACTAACACAGGTGGAGAGCAGCCACAAAACACATTGGCCTACAAGCGCCATATAGCTTTCTGTGAAGGGAGGGGGTTTTGGGTTGGGGGCTGGTCTTAGCCACACAGATCCAGCAGTTACAAATCCTCAAGAGAGATGCAGAAGGGCTTTGGCCCACGTTGTAGTTAAATATCTGGAATAGTGGTGACCAATGATCTGATCCACACAATGGGTAGGTGTGGTGAGAACAGATTCTGCCCCTCCCATCCTCTGCACAGTACCCCACGCAAAACTTGTTTATTCAGTTTTTGTGTCAGGGGGAAACAGGAGATGGCACCCTATTGCTGTGTGAGGCTCAATCATTGTTTAGAAAATGCTCAGTATTGTTGGTATAATTACAAAGTAACTTAATTATTGCCACTAAATCAGCACTACATTAGTGCCCACCACTGTAGCTTTTACAGTAATGTATCCACGGGGTAACTTGAGTCAAGTGCCCAAGGTTTTGCAGTCATGGCTCTTTAGAACTAATTCTGATGATCTGAAACTACCTCTTCCTTCATGAGTCTCAAGCTAAACCCCTCCCCCCCACCCCCCTGATATTAAGGAGAAGTGATAATATTGGAAGAACTATACTGATGACATCCAAAGGCCAGGGGGGCTTTCTGAGACTGAATGAGAAATAATCTTCAATGGAGCCTTAAAAGATAACAGAAACTGGTTTTCCTCTGTTGAACTAACAGGAGTCCCTGGAAGGGGTAAAGGAAATCCCCTCCACAGCTGGCAACAAGATTTCTTTGTATTCATAGTAGTAGTTGCTTCTCAAGGCCCTGGATCAGCAAAATACACAAGAACATACTCTGACTTCCATGGGAAGTAAGCATGTGCTTAAGTGCTTTCCTTCATCAAGCCCCAAAATAGCACCAGACACAGAAAATCTCAAATTTAGATTAGCAATTAGATTCAGTTAAAGGGAATAAGAGTGAGAAAAGTGAAAATCCAGGGCGTGTCTGCACTACAGAGACTATACTAGCATAGCTACATCGCCATAGCTATGCCTGTGTAAACCCAAAGCGTAGAGACAGCCTACACAGATGGAAGAGGTTTTTCAGCCAGTGTGGGAACATAACCCTCAGCCCGCAACGATGTGGCTACATCAGTGGAAGCATTCTTCCATCAACACAGCTGATCTACAATGGGGTTTAGGTCAGCATACCTATGTTGGTCATGGGTGAGGTTTTTTCACATCCCTGATGAATGTAGCTATGTCGACTGAACTTTTAAGTGGAGACTGAGACCCAGAGACAGCACTGCTGGGGAAAGGATCAAAGCAGTTTGGCCCACAAAAAGCAGTACTGGAGAAAATTATAAGGAATTGGCTGTGCAACAAGAGAATTTCTGCTAATAGGTAGCTTTTTTTCTTTTCTTCTCTTCAAATAAAAAACCCAGTGGATTTCCAATGGGAACTGGAATAACTCCTGAAACATGCTAGTACAGTACTGAGATACAGAAAATGCACATCACAACCTTCCCATTATTATAAATCACTTTGTTTGATCTAGAACTACTTCAACATATTAATTTGTCAGAAGCCATGTAGCAAACTAGTCTGTATTTTACTGAAATTTACAGCTATGCTGTTATGAACACTCCATAGCAGTATGGCTGAAAAACACATTTTTCCATATTAAAAAAAAAAGTCTTAGAAAACAGTTTCTAAGGGTATTCATAAAAGGTATCTGTTTTTTGAGTTTGAAGTTTCCACTGAGAAAAACTTTGCATCCATACAACCTTATGCAATTCCTATTTTATATCTGTTGGCCCTAAAGAAGAAAGAAAGAGAAAAGATCTTTAGCCACCTCCTTAGACAATACTGCATACAATACTCTCCCTTATCAGGGCAGACTGCTGTCTGGTTTCCTGTCTCAAGCTACTGCTTACAAGGAGAAATAGTTTAGTAAAGAGAACAGATCAGACCTCTGAAAACAAGTGAAGTATGCAGAATGGTATGACAATCTTTCCCTTCCAAACTGAACCTTTTTTTTTTTTTAAATAAAAAGAGAATTTGAAAGGAAGAATAAAAGTAGCCTTTGTTCTATTCAGGAAGACTGGTTGGGAAATGAAGAGACAGAAAGAGTGTGACAGACTTCAAAGCTAATTTTACACGCATAGAAATCAAAATCTGAAAATCAGGCTGAGTGTCTAAAAAAAATGTCAACATCAGGATACAAAATATCATCCTCTAATATTAAGGTACAAGTCTGCTCTGTTACTTGCTCAAACATATTCCAGACAGACCTTTGACCACATGAGGCAGAGCTAAAAATCTCTAACTATTAAGTGACCAAAAATACATTAATGAATAATAGTTTACGCTTTTAATTTCAATGAAGATTTGAAAATAGGAAAAATGTCCATGAGCGTGTGTTTGTGTGTGTGTATGTATCTAGGGAAATAAAGAGAGAGAAAGTGGATGGTGGCAATGGAAGAATGATTAAATAAACTTGGACTCTCTAAGAGTGGAGGTTTTGTCACTCTTTTCGTGTACCAAAGTGTGTTAGCAACCTCCCCAACTCTCCCATCTCTTTCCATTATGGCTTATTTTAGTATTTAAAATCTGTTAGAGCTTTATCTTTCTATTTAGCTAACACACACTTATACTAGTTTCCCTTGGGACAGATCAACAATGGCTATTAAATCCCTAAAAGGAAACCTTGGCATTAGATAAAACATTAAAAGTGAAGGGTTAAATCTGTTCCTAAACCAGCTCTGCCAAACTTCACATTTTGGATTGGAAGCAACTAGCCTTGGAATGAAAACACAAAGCTTCAATACTGGCTGCATAGAAGAGTTTTATTTTTGAAAGGACCTCCTTCTAGCTATGTCAGTTAATTTAAAAAACTTGTTCTACAAAATGCAGAATTTTGTTGCAATATGAATCTCAGTTTCCGATTTTATAGAAACTTGGCTACAGAAAGTTGTGAATAGCAAAATTTACTATACTTACACACTGGTTCCCAGTACTAAACTAAAGCTAGTTCAACACCTTTTGCTGATCCATGGAGAAAAGATGAAATATGACTGAGGCTCAAATCCTGTACAGTTTAACTAGTAGCTAAATTACGATATTTATTCACTGTGCAATGACAATATACTGTACATAATTTTCTAATAGCAGCAAGAGAACAAAAGTAAAAATCCCTAAAAGAGAGGAAATAAGGATTCTTAAAAATACAACTTACCAAAATTATTAGCTTGTGTGTTCACTTGAAATAACTTTCTTACAATTTGTATTTCTGAAGAGACAAAAAGCAAAATAATGTAAGTATCCACATATGTGCATTTCAGTGAGTTGCTACTTATATAGTTAAAATTTAGTTATCTGTGTTCACTACAAGTGTCTCTAAGTCCTATTATGCTTTTTGAAAAAAAAATACTGCAAGTGTGTCCAACAGAAACGTCTCCTTTTTTAAAGTTTAACATCTAAAAGCCAGCAGTAGCAGAAGAAAAATTTCAAAAACAAATTAAATAAAAATGACATATTTAAAGATGGAAACATTTCTGTGTGCATGCAAGAAAATGTATTTTTTTCAAACATAAGTGAGTGAGAAACACAGTCCATCTCCTATTTTGATATAATTTCTCATTCATTTAGGGCCTGATCCAAAGCCCTTTGAAGTCAATGGGAATCTTTCTATCAATTTCAATGAGCTTTGGCTCAGGTCCTTAGTTCTTCTACAGTTAGATGCAGAGTAACAGAAAGATTTCTTATGTCCTCTTTTTGAATTTCCTCTTGATTTTTCTCTGTGTTGGTCCACAGCAGACAAATGAAAAAAAAAAAAAACCTGATATCAAAGTAGAAAAAACATGTACTTTACTCCTTCAAAAAGTGCTCAGAGTTTAGCAAAATATAGCACTGCCATACCCATTTAATCCAAAGAAAGTTGTTAGTGTCTCATTTTCCTGCATTAAATCTGGAAGAGTGCGGATCCTTGAATTCATGTAACAGTACGATATTTCCTCCCTTCAGAAAAAATGGTACAATTCTAATCTTGATCAAAACTGGAACAGAAAATGATCATGGTGGCATCTTCAGAACCGACATGGGGAGAAGCCAATAGGTTTTCACATAAATGAATATATAGGGCTGGATTCTCTTCTCACTTGCACTGGTATTACATCACTGCAACTCCATTGACTTTAATGGAATTATTCCAGACTTACATTGGCACAGGTGAGAGGAGAACTCAGACTCAATTTTTTTTTAGAGTCAAACGAGTTTTTAGAAAAGGGAATGAAACTCATTATTCACCCATGTAAATATATTGGAGTAGAGGGTGTGTGTTAAAAGGTTAACTCAGACTTCTCATGCTGACATAACACAGGCAACTTAAGCAATCATGAGTGTGTAGAGACATGATAACTCACTGGGTGGGGACTGGGAGTTGCAGGGCAGTGACAAGGGGCCTGGACTGGGCTACTGGTCTACTAAAAAAACAGCCTGAAACAGGAAAGAGCACACATATGCCACTTGGAATGTATGACGCAAACCCCAGCCTTGAAACAAAGAACAGGAAACAGCTCTGCTGGCTGTGCTGGAGAGAAAGCACAGAGAAACATTTAGGCGGCCCTCTCTGACCCTATATTCATGAGCAGCTGGAGTTTTTTAAACAACAACAGTGGGTGGAGGTGTTTGTTCGTTGGGTGTGAATAAAAACACTGTCTTTATACAGGAGACCTGCCCTATTTACAAACAAGCAAATATCTACACTTAACAGAAGAGGACATGTGATGTTAGACACCACAGATCATGATAATTAACCCCAACCTTCCCTTGGATTTCTTTTTGCCTCTAAGCTGCTAATATTTAACTACAGCCTGAATTTTATATAACACCATACAGCTAACTCTTAGCCTAAAATTATCTTCTTCAAAGAGAAAAACGGAACGATCAGGTCATTACAAGAATTAATTTTAAAAGTACAGCCTATTTTAGAAATTGGCTATTTTCCCACTGCAAAAAATTCAGTATGGTTTGACAGCTGAAGACTCACATAATTTAGTGCATACAGTGTTGGTGTATCTGTTGGTCCCAGGATATTAGAGAGACAAGGTGTGTGAGGTAATCTCTTTTATTGGACCAACTTCTGTTGGTAAGATAGACAAGCTTTCAAGCGTACACAGAGCTCTTCTCAGTATACGGATGACAGAACTTAAATTTCAAGAGTTATTAAAGACTCACTGCTAAAACACATACCAATAACAATCCACACTAATTTTCACTTTTCTGTACTTTTGCTTTGGTTGCACTTATAGAATGAGATTTTAACTGTAGAACCAGTTAACCACAAATATTTTTTTTATTTTTTGACAAATCACTAATACACATCACACTAAAACCATCAAGCTGTTTAAAGAAGAAAACATACCGAGAATAAGGAGTTATGGGAGTGAGGAAGCACACCTCATCTACATGAAATGTATCAGAATAAGTTTATACTTAGTTTCATTCAGAACAACTACTTCACTATTCTTCCTTTTCCAACATGCTTTGAACTAGTTCCGCACGGTGGGTCAGACAGCTGCTGTACCAGATATTATCAGACATGTGTTACTGCAAGTTATGTGGATTAGCAGCCTAGTAATGACAGTAACCACCGTACATTTCATTTTAGTAACTGCAGTTTCAGAAGTACGAGATTACAACTGGTTACGGAAGAATCTACACAACAGTGTATGGTTGTACGTTCTATAGTTATATTATTTTCTTCATACTTAATATTTGGAAAGGTAAGTATCGAAAGTATCTAGGTACTTGATAAGCCCCTAATCACTGTAGTATCTGAGCACTTTCAACTGACTTAATTCACTTTTACATCATTACTTACCTGAACACTTTTGTTTTTGTAGTGCTGTAGTCATGTTGGTCCCAGGGCATTAGAAAGGCAAGGTGGGTAATATGGTTCTCACCCACCTTGTCTCACTTGTGGTTTTGGCTGATACTATAGTTGTTGTGTAGGTGTAGTGTATTTTCATAATATTGTAGGGCATTCTCATAACTGTTATATACTGACAACATTTCAGTTTCCTCAAAAAAGGAAAGGACCATTTTACGTCTTCTTTCTCCACCCACCTCCCAACCCCAGGCTTCACCTACTATTATACATTAACCAGTGTAGGCAAAACATATTTACCTGCTTGGATAAAACAAAAGTATGCCACTCAACTAAACTCTGACGCAGACTCTTGTATTTGAAAATATTAGTGCTATCAAACTAAATCAGACATTTTAAAGCAAAAGGGATAAAGTTAGTTTGAAGTAAGTGTCCCCAGGGTCAGACAGGATTATCAAATCCAGATGTGGTTCCTCTCATAAAAGAAGTTCCTTATACAACAACCAAGAGAGCACATCTTAAAACTATTCTACAGAAAAATACATGAGTGAGCAGCAATTGTATTCTTTGTTTTCAATACAGATTAAAGAACATTTATGGACATTAATTTCAATAAAACCAAAACCACAAAATCCCTCCATCCACGACCCAAGCTTGGCTTTTCATAACAACACCACATTCAAAGTTGAGCCCTGTGAATAGTGACACTTCCTGAGTTTTCAAAGGGCCACTATGTAGAGGCAGAGCGCAAGCAAACAATGCAGGTACAGTAAAACTGAATAAGAATGGATAGAAAATCTTTGATGAAATCAATTTCTTTGCGTTAAAAAGAATGATAATTTGAACAATTCTAAACTAGGTATTACTCCTGATTTTTTGCTACTTTGTGTAGGATTTCAAGGTGGGGTCTTAAACAACTTTCTCTAGTCCATCCCCTCGCCTTGCACCCCCCAGCCAATTTCAGTGTAAGAACTTACATTGGACAAAGATCGAAGATAAATATTCCTATTCCCATTTAAGTGTAGAAAAACGACATTCATATAGGCAGGAAGTCAATTATGGATGTCATTTCCAATTCCTTATAAAAGTTACTTTATATTTTAAGTGTCAGAGCTAAATATCATAAATATTAGAGATTTGAACTTTTTCCTAGAAGAGTGTTAAATAAGACTAGATATGTTAATATTTTATTTTAAAAACATTTTAGGACTAATTTTATCCCTGGTATAACTCCACCACATTCAGTAAAGTTATACCAGGGTTAAATTTGGCCATTAAACTATTCCACAGTGCTATGACCCTAACCATAATATACTAGTGATAGCATACTATTTAGAAAAACCAAACAACAAAAACAACCCTCTTCACTGTTTTTTCTCCCCACAGAAATCAAACATTTTTAATCCAACAGAAGTGAATGAACCCATTACACTGTGCAACTCAATTTAGTACTTTAATAGCATTAGCAAGTTCTGATGACATTTTAAATTGTAGACTTGTCTATTGTACTGCAGTCCCCCATCTGCCAAAAGATGCTCTGGGGGCTGAAACAACTGCTACTGAGTAGCAGGAGCCCAAGAGAACGTCTCATATTGTCCAAGTCAAGAGCCGGAAAGAAAGGGACTCCCTTTCATATTGAGACAATGGAGGTCTTGGGATCAGCACCAGAGAGCCGAGCCAAAGGCCACACGAGGTGTGTGATTTTTCTTACCCAATCTCTGTAAAAGTCAGTAAGACAGAGGAAACCACACACACCAGAGCAGACCCCTGTATTTTGTCCCACCCTCTCTTGCAACCTTTGCAGCAACCACAGAAGCTGGGGATAGAAACATCCGCAGAAACTCCCCCTACTCGGCCCCCTACACACACGTGACCTTCTGTCCCCTCTTCCCAGAAAGAGACAAAGTATCATCGGAGTTGGTAATCCCTCCTTCCGCCCTTACAAGCTGTGCAGAAACAGATAATAAAGCACCACAGGAGTTGGAGACAGAAACATACATTCTCCCCCCACCCCCGAAAAACTTTCGCAGAAGTTGGAGCGTGTCAAGTCGCCAGGATGGTCCTCGGGCGCAGCCCTGGCCCCCAGAGCCTCAGCGGGCTCGCAGCTTTGCATGCACCCAGGTCATCCCAACGCTGACCTCCCCCCCGACTTCTTCCAGCAGCTGGAAACTTTCGCACGTTGCAGTCAGACGCGAGGAATAACCCCACTCCCCTCCCCGCGCTCACCCTCAGCAGGGCAGGGGGCCTCCGCCGCCGCCCGAAGCCCTGCGATGGGGGCTGTGAAACAGAGCAAAGCACCCGGCCCGCGTCCCGGCTCCCTGCGGCTGAGGCTGTGCGCTCCGCGGTGGCCGTGCGTCTCTGGGCGAGGGGAGGGCGCTCGCTCGGCTCCCCCAGGCTCCTGGCACTAGTCTCCGCTGTCACATGACGCCGGCGCCGCTCGCTCTGCCAGGCTCCCTTGGCCGGCGGGGTAAGGGGAGGGTCAGGGAGGGGAGCGCGGCCAGGGCGGCTCCCAGCCCGCTGGGTGGAGGCTTCGCTGGAGGGGCCGGGGCGAGTCACTGGCTCGCACACCCAGCCAGGCACGCACTGCTCCCCCCGCCCTGCCCCCCGGAGGCAGACAGACTCACAGACACTAATTATCCCCAGCACCGCGGCGGAGCCGCCGCCTGACCGGCCCTTCCAGCTGCTCCTCCGCCTCTCCCTTGCTGCGTGTCAGGCAGAGGCGTGCGCCTGGCACCCGGCGCCAACTACACCCCCCTGCCCGCCTGAGCAGCAAAGCTGCGGCAGCAGCCAAACAACCGCGCGGCGCAGCACCCCCGGGGCAGCAGGAAGGGAGGCGCTCAGGGCGGGCTGCCGCGGAGCTGGCTTCACAAACACGGGCTGGGCAAGGGGACCGGCACCCAGCCGCCCACGGAGCCCGACTCTGCCGCCCTTTGCAAAGCGCCTGGCGGATCAGGGAACCGCTCGGCTGGGGCACGGGCGGCGGAGCCGCAGCCGGCATGGTGCAGGGCGGGCACGGCTCCTTTGGCCGGGCTGTTTGTGCTGCTGTTGCCTGGGGGCGGACCCTTCCCTTAGTTACTATTGGCTTGGGGACTCATATTCCATGTAACGTGGGTGCACCCACAGGCCCTGTGTGGGGCTGTTTTAGGACTGTGCTCCAGTGTGGCTCGGCGTTAGAGAACAGGGGCATCACATACATGAAACAGACAAGAAGTGTAGACTCATTGCTATTAAACAAAAAGGGGAAACAAAGAAAACAAATCCTTCAGATACCATGAGGGGCTAAGTTCTGTTCTCTGATACACCAGTGTTTTGTGCTCAACAACTGAGCCAACTTCTTATAAGTGTCTAACTTTAGGTACTTAATGGGGTTGGCCAAAGTGACCAGGTCAGGGCAACACAAGAAATCCTGAATTATGCTCTTGGGCAAACCAATGTAAATCTTAAAGTCAAAGGAGTGACTGGATTTAGACTGCTTTCAGAGTATACTCTGACCCTTAAGTGGGAAACAGTGTGAGGACTAAAACTCACATCTCCTGACTTCTAGTACCATCCTTTAACAACAAGACTGTTGTTGTTATTTATTTATGACCAGGTTCTGAAGCCCTTACTCCACAAACAATCCCATTAACTTCAGTGGAACAATGTGTGGCCTCACATGCTACCCAGCCTGAATAAGGGTGTCAGAATCTGCCCTTAGTTACACTGGTGGGCTCAGTGCTGTTCAGACTATGGAAGAGGATACTGTCCTTGCCCCAAGGAGATTACAATCAAATACAATGCAGTACAAAAGTGATATAGAAGTTGAAGGTCCAAGGCTATTCAAATTTTAGAGTGACACAAATAATGGGATAAATTTTGCTCTCTCACACATGCAATCACAGTGTGAAAGTGGTATTTGTCCCATGTCTCCAATTTATCTGCTTTTACTTAGGAAAGGAGTCTCAGTGGAATCTGCCGAGTGCTCAGGACTTTTGAAAATCAGGTCACTTGTTTAGATGTCCAGATATGGATTTTAGAGCCTAATTTTAGGAGCCCATTTTTGAAAATATTGGCCTAAAGTTCCCAGCTTATAATAATAATCAATGGAGATATCCCATCTCCTAGAACTGGAAGGGACCTTGAAAGGTCATTGAGTCCAGCCCCCTGCCTTCACTAGCAGGACTAAGTATTGATTTTGACCCAGATCCCCAAGTGGCCCCCTCAAGGATTGAACTTACAACCCTATGTTTAGCAGGCCAATGCTCAAACCACTGAGCTATCCTTCCCCCGCCAAGAAATCCTGAATTATGCTCTTGGGCAAACCAATGTAAAGCTTCATGGTTTAAACTATGATTCTGCCATTGGGTTGACACATTATGGTGTGTGAAATCAAGACACCTATAATATCTAAAAATAAGACCAGGCAAAGGACAAATCCTGCCTTCACTAAGGCTCTGATGCTGCAGTAAGAGCTGTGTGGACAGATGAAAGCCTATTGGAGCATTCTGTGAATGCAGTGGTCCTTCCTGTGTGTAGTTTTCTTATTGCAAGATCAGGTACTTATTTTGTAAGTCAATGGGAGTTGCTGGGTACTCAGTACTTTTGAAAATCAGACCATATATTTCAGTACCTAAATAAGGACTTTAGGCATCTGTTTTTCAGAAGATTGATTGTAATGTATTCCATTCCCTTTGATTTTTTATAATATTATAAAAGCAACACAAAGATATAAAGGCAAAAACCCCTAGTTGTTTAAGCATTCTACTGTTTGCTTTGTTTACAGAAACATTACAATCCATGCTTTTTTAGTTCAAGTATATTTTAATGTAGTCTTTGGCTCATCTTAGCACATTTTCTAGGCAAACATGGTGTTTTAAAAACTGAACTAAGCACCAGTCTGAAACCCTGAAGAATACTACACTGACACAACACAAAGAACTCTGGGATACTGGACCTTGGTAACTCTTAAAATGTGAAATTTTTTGTTATAAGGTTATAACATATATCAAAAATAAACACACACTTATTGTGTCAGTGCACACCAAATAGTCACAGAGCATCTCAGTGTAATGAGGAGGAGCTGCTGCAATGCTCCTACATGCATATGCTCAAGTATAAGGTAAGATAAAAGTAATACTACTAATTATGTCCCAATTCTACCTTAATTTATTCAGGTGGAGTTAACATTGGCTGCATTGGTAATTAAATGTATGAAATCTAGAACAGAATTGACTTAATCACAGTGTCATATTGTTGGATATATAACATATATCCACTAGGTCCCTCTGCTGTCCCCTGCCCTGATATCAAAGGGAGTTTTCCCTGTTATAACCTGATTCTGTTCCACCAGTGTAACTCTATTGACTTCAGTGGAGCTACTCTGGATTTACATCAACACAAGTGAGAGGCAAATCAGAACTCTGAGTCATTATTGGCTGAGCGAAGTATGGCCCTACACTCAACTCGATGTCTATCTGTAATGCAATAACTTTTGAATGCTGCACCCTATCAATTTCAAAATTTCACGGAGTGTTCTAGGCATCCATGGGCACAATCTTATTGATTTGGGTGAAAATTGAAAAACTGGAAAGGGGAAATGAAGGACATGCAAAACCCCAGGCACCTGGTTAGCACACACATTAGCTTCAACCAGATCTGAATCTGTCTCTAGATCAAAGATCTGGTCGATAGCAGTCATTAATACTCTCTATCTCTGTCCATCCTTCCAATAGAGTTTAAAATGTAGGGGAGAATGGTGGACCTTGGTGTGGGGGAGGGGAAATAGGTTCACACAGAGTCCCTTGCATGTGGCAGAGGAGGAAATGGGGGACACACACAACCTCTGGTATAGGGGAGGAGAACCTATGGGACTCTGGCATAGGGGGAGGAGGAATGAGGGGGCATCACTGGGTGGAGGAGGGTGAGTGAGTTGCAAGAAACCACTGAAATAGAGAGGTGTGGGAGGGAGATAGTGATAGAAGAGGAGCATAGAAGGAGTCAAGGAGCTTCTGTGGTGCGCAATGAGCTCAGACTACAGCAGCAATGAAGTGGACCCCCTAGTTAAAATGCTTAAAGGGCCAGTCCAAATTCATGGTAGAGGACCAAATTCTCCCTGGTGAAATTTATCCCTGCTGAAGTCAGTTGAATTACAAGGATGAATTTGGCCCAAAAGTACTTATAAAATTATGTGTATTAAAAGTAAGCCACTTTTTTATTTTGCTTTCTAAGACAAAATTAATTTAAATGAAATGTTGTAAAATCCAGAGCTGAGAACTCTGCTGCCACAAGCTTTGGAGGCTGCTATAATATTTTTAATCATTTCACTAATCTTTTGGTGCCCTGCTGCCTACTGGAATTCACAGCCCCAAGTTAGGTTACCAGGCTCCCTATATAAGGCATGGGGAGAGTTAGACATCTAAAAAAGGAATTCACAAAATGCTGAGACAAGGGTGAGGCTTCAGCCCTGCCCCTAAAGGGAGTTGGCTGTCTTACTCTGGGCCGGAAGGAAGCATCTGTCTCTACTGAGGATTCACAGCCATTGGAGTTAAGCTCTCAAATCAGGTAGTTGTCTTTCACACAAACCCAAGAAGAAGCCAGTCATAACCTGGTGGTCAGAGCAGTCAATCAGGAAGTAGGGGTCTCAGGTTCAAAATTCCCCTTCTACCTCATATAAAGCAAGTCCTGGGAGTGACTGCCCTGTTTGACTCAGCCCTATTTTCCACAATCATTTCTCACTCCGTTCTGGATGCTGGCTGGGGATGGAATCAATTTGCTGCTCGCAGTGAAAGCCTCTCGTATGGCCTGTTGTAGAAGCTCCACAGTCAGGAAACACTTTATTAATAACAAATGGAAACTTCCCCTATGAAAAAAATCAAGCCCCGATACTTCAAACACACACATGAGTAACTTTTTATGCATGCGAGTGGTCCTGTTTAAGTCAACCCACGTAAGTGTTTGCATAATTGGGCCCCTATTGTTTAGGTGGAGGAAGGGTGGGGGTGAGAAGTAGGAAGGTAGAGCTCCAGTCTGTGTCTGTTGTGCAGGTGCAACGGGGAGGAAACAATTAGAGACATTTAGGTAGGAGCAGATTTCAACCAACACAACATGGGGCTGTCACCACTGCAATTAGTCAGTATGGTGCTGGCTGGCTGCTCTTTGTCAGCCCAAGCCCTAAACCTGCTACCACCATG